CTCGTTGGAAACATTACGTGTTGGGTGAGAAGCAGATTGTCAATGGTGCGCAGTAGCTGCTAGTCGAATGCTGTTTCAGAACACTCGGTGGAGGCCGAACTCCAGTCTATATGAAGTGCATTAAAACCTCCAACGATGAGAGTGTTCATCCGCGTTGCAAATAATCTGAGCTCATCCAGCAGTTGGGAATCAGCGTCGGGGTCATTTCTCGGGAGACGATATACTGCCAGGATATCGAGGCTTTGAGAGCCAGGTTCTGTTATGATCAGCCATAATGCTTTCGTACTACAAGTCAATTCGGCAGTTTTTTCTGAAACGTACAAGTCATTCTTAACGAATGCTACTATGCCTCCACCCCTTCCGTTTTCTCTGTTTCTGCGGGACAGTTGAAATCCATAAGCATGAGTTCCCTATCACCAACCTGTTCGGACAACCATGTTTCTGTTACTGAATTAACGTTTGGGTGGAGATCGTTGAGATGGATATGGAGCTCATCCAGTTTTGAAAGTACACTTTCCGCGTTAGTATACATGTGTGAGTTTCGAGTTCATGCGCGCTGTGTTTACAACCCCGACACAGGTTACTAGGGGTATGACCTAAATCGTCATTTGCCTAAGAACGTCCGGTAAATCAGTACGTAGACAAAAGCTGTTATCTTGAAGCTTCTGATAACCCCAAACTACAGAACCCATCAATTTCAGCAAGCCATTTAGAATATTTAAAATCGCAAGACGTTCTCACCAATATTCTGAGAATATCAGAAAACGCCTCCACAGCCACCGCTGTACACACTCCCGATGCCCCGCCACCACTAACATCACCAGGAATGGGGTATCCATCTTCATTTTGATCGCATCTTCACATCAAGCATCGGTCTGAGCGGTCGAAGCAGTGTCCGAAATCCCGGCATAAACCCCCCGCACACACACGCAAGAACATTCAGTCATTGCATAGGCTTATTCGGTCACGTATACCACAGACCAACCCCCCTCACCAAACATCTCCCCATACCACACACGAACCCCTCCTGCATCACCAATCACAGGCATGTAATAGGCGCCTCTAGCATGAGTGGAAAACGTGTCCTCCGACTTCTGCTCTACGTGACCTCTATTCTAACGCATGTAAGGCCCCAACAGCAGACATCTTTGAGTGAAAATCTGGTGGGTTGAGCAGGGGAGCGACAGACGTATAGACGGACTGTTGCGCCCTGTCCGACACGGACAGTCGACTAGCGTACGAAGGATGTCAGCTCAGCGCAAATTCCTCGCTGTAAACAACCTGAAGGGCTTTTAAACTATCCCGATGCTCTGAAAGCCGTGGCTTTGAAGGCGGCCAACAGACGGGATAGTTCGGTCCTACGCCCATTATGGAAAGTCAGGCTGCAACGTCTCCTTCTTAACGTGGCCTCCATGACACTCCTATACAGTTGGAGTCGGACTTCAGACAGACAGCAGACATCCACGTTGTGCTGATCAAGGCTGCGTGCGGTCAGACTTTGGGTACCGGGGGGCCAGGAACGTAAAGGACGACATTATTTCCCGAACTGAGCCTTTCGAAATGCCTATGGACCCGACGTGACCATTCCATCGCCACTAAGATTTGCGTGTACCGTGCATCTGTCTGGTCGGTCCCCCTCTACAGTTGTGAATGCTGGGCTTTGCGCGTGGAGGACGGCCGAAAACTGGAGGTATTTGACCACCACTGCTTGAGGACCATCCTTCGAGTGAAGCTCACCTTTATCTTCCCTTTGCATAAGTGAAGAAGAAGAGTCGAGCACTGGGACATTGTTTATTGTCCTGAGCTTTCAGACTCGATCAGGAGTCCATTGTCAGAGGAAGTAGCAGCAATAGAACAAGCGACAGTTATAAGGCATGTAGGCCAATCATCGACCGACGGCGCAAGACTGGAGGTGACTACGCAGGGCTTTGTACGCCGGCGCCAGATCGAGAAATCGACTGACCAAGTTCTCATCCGAGGCCCAGGCTTCAATCAATTCTCGGCCCGTTTTGGTTCCGGTGTAGGCGACTATTTTGGTGGCTGAGAAGTTAAGCTCGTAACCCATTTCGTAGGTGTGGGCGACCACTTGTGATAATGCGTCGCCTCATCGCACAGCCAGCTTATATTCATGTATGCGCGATCCGAGCATGCGCTCAGTCTGCCCTGTGTAGTTACAAGGGCAATTTTGACACGGAATGCGATACAGTACTCCAGATTGCTCTTCAGGTTTTAACCGATCCTTGATTTCCATGACCCTATTACGCATGGTGGCTTTGGGGCGGCGTGCAATTCCAACACCTAGCTCCGCCGCAATGCGCTCGGTCGCTTCTGAAACGCTCAAGACAATAAACAATGTGTTCCGGTGCTCGACTCTCCTTCACTTATGCATAAACCTGGAACTCAAAATTCCGCCTTCATCTTCCCTTTGCTATAATGTGTCACCAGCAGGTTCAAATGAAACCTGCTGGAGGTGATGAATTCACGCCGACGCTGATGTGGATCAAGGGTTCGGTCTGATGCATTTCGCAGCCCGGTTAGGCGTCCGTTTAGGTCCGAAGCTACTGTAGTGGACAGCCATAATGGCTACGTCGCGCCTTTCGCTAGCGCCTGCACCTACGTCCTAGCGACAGCCTGCTATGGCATGCACGTCTGCCCGGCTTCGATTTGTCTCGTTGCAATTCACTGTCTGCACCACGCATTCGGTCGATTCTCTGCCTGCACCACGCGAGGCTTGTCACTACCTTCGCGTGGTCTTGGAGCCAATCAACGCAACTCCTATCGCTGATTGGTAAGACAGGCGGGAACAGTCCAGAACAATAGAGTAAACAATCTGCAGCGACACTTTTGCAGCGGCGACCTTCGGCGACACAGGGCTCGTCGCTCTCGCGGACGCTGCCTCCGCGGCGCCGGACGCATCCTCGTCCGGTTGCCAACTTTCCCCTTCACTGTTCTTTACAGAATAAAGTGTCCTAACCAAATGGCGTCCTGCTTCTAACAACTTGGGATATGGCCTGAAGTTGTGGCGTACTGAGCGTACACCATCACCGCTTAGCCGCTACACTACAACGGACTTTATTTGATGCGCGGATAGAACACTAGGGTCACAGAGTTAGATACAGAGGCGACCCCCCCCCCCCCAACACTCCAGAGGATTGTTTAGCAAAATAAATCTGCTCTGACACGTCAGAAGTCTTGGCTTTGAGGGCTGCCAGCCAAAGAGCCAACCTAGTGCTCCCAACGGACTGGGGGTCAGGCTGAAATGAAATGGCGCAGTCTTCATAACTCTCCCACTTTTGTGAGATGAAAGGCCTCCTCTCGCTTGCTTTAACGCAGACTTGGTGTTTGGTTAAACTGCGAGAAAGCGGAGCAACGAGGAACCAGCAAAAGCAGTATCATAAATTTGCTAACAAAATATTCAACTAACCGACAGTTCGACTATTGTTGCCGACAATGTCCAACGTCAGATGAGAGTAGGCCCGGTGACTTGTACGTGAATGAATTTATAGTAGGAGTAGACTTGCACAACATCTACCGCACTTTCTCGCCCCTCCCCCTCCTAGTCCCGGTGTCAAGACACGGTTAAGAAGACCGGAAACGGGAGAGGGCGCAGGTGACCGACACGGCCGTAGCACCACACCCCACGGTCCGCAACAAACACTCAACCAGGATTTTGACCTACAACAAAAAGGGATGACACAAGTCAGTGGACAACCATGCGCACGGCTTGTATACCCAGCGGGTGTGCAAGTGCATCTACAAGCAGGGAATCAGGTGTCCGAGAACGGCCAACGCACACCAGGCTTCGAGGGCCATGGTTTGGTGAATTTGACAAAGCAGACACACAAAATCCTTAAAGCTCACAAGAGTGAGACGCAGACTAATCAGCAGACGACGTGGTAACCGATGAGGAGGACAACCAGTCGATTTTGCCCTCCTAGCTCACCGATTGAGCCCGACTTAGCATTGGTCTGGGTGCTAAAGCATTAGGAATGTCATCTTACCCAAACCCGACTCCGGCTGGTTACCGATTGAAGGCATTGGCGGACGTAGCGAGAACCAAACACGAGCGTGTCTCAGGCCCTTGCGTTCGCTCTGTCTGATTTATCACCTAGCAGACAAGCGTATCCTCACTGCCCGGCGCATTCAAGATTCGCGCTGACTTTGCGGGACTCCTTCGCATCTCTTGCGTCACAATCGACAACACCGAAGTCGATATTATGTCGGAGCAGACTGAAAATGCTAGCCCAAGCTCCTCACACCTGCCCACATTGTGAGCAAATTATTCCGCAGACACGGATCGCACTCGGACGCAGTTGATAATACCTCTTCAGGTCAATCTTGTCGCTACTGTGGCAACTGCGAGACATGTATCCACGCATGGTGTCTCCATCAATTATCGTTGTCTATCACAACCCTACCCCTAGACCAGTCCTGCCTGCACTATGTCCAGGTGAACCACTCATCCGCAGCGGAGAAACAACCCCTTAGACGCATCCGCATCAATTCAGACCCCGATTAACAAATTCCTCTACTTATCACCCCGACCACAAATAAAATCTAATGGAGATGACTATCGTCCTACGAAACACTGTCTGGAAGTCTGTGCAAAGATGGCCATTGGCAGGTGTACTACCTTTTCTTATACCAATTGGGCATTCTCAGTTCTTGTCAGACAGGAAAACTGGCGTTCTACATGTGAGGTTCGCGCAAGGAGAAATGCTCAAAAGGGTTGTGTGTACAAGATATCTAGTAAGAAATAAAAAACATCGTAAAATGGAGTCTGAAGTACTAAAAATGAGTGGCTGACTGGTTCATTAAGACTGTACAGTAGCGGTGGAGGAGCTGCGTGTTGTAGGAACAGGAAGCCCAGCTTCTCGAAGTTCCAAAACGAAGAATATGGTCAAGAGCGGCCTGAAACAGTCGTGGCATCCACTAACATCGACTAAGGCGTGGCGCTCACAGTCTGATTACGCGTTTTCCCATCGAAGGCCCCTCCCGAGTCAGCCCGTTTTCGTGAGGGTCCACGTTCGATCGCTGACCACGTCCCTCGGCGCGACAATCAGTAACTGTGAACTTGGCGACCAGTTGAGACGTTCTTCGATGTAGGTCGCGAACTCCGCATGCGACCTAGCAACAAGGAGGGGCGAGGGCAACTTGGAGTCCAGATCGTAGTACAGAATGTCTCCGCCCTCTGCGCTGGGGAAACCGCGGAAGGCAATCCAATGACGACTGGTGACAGGAATGGGTGCCAGAAACTTTCGACGGGTGTTGAGAATGAAACCCGTGATGCGGTCCCAGTTGAGGTTGTGCTCAGTCATGCTCTTCTGCCGATTAAACCACACAACATCATAGTCATGGTCCTGCAAGGCCAGAATGAGCACGTTGACGTCAAAGTTGCCCAGCCCGAAAATATTGCGGTGCGGGTTTGCGAACCTTGCTGGCGTCAGTCTGGAACAAATCGCATCCATAGACTGCTTGTTAACCGCCTCGAATTGAAGTACATTGTTTATGGCGTGCACAGCACAGAGGAGGAGGGACTGCTTCTGGTGATATATGGGGACGAGGTCTGTGTGACCGATGTCCTATGTTAAACGGAAGAGGGCGGTTGTGAGAGAGAAAACACTTTCCAGCAGACAAAACAGTAGCCCATTATCACGTGCATAAGTCAGGCAGAAAACATCGGGCATAAAGATTGCTACAAGGTAAAAAGCCTAACAGGCCTGCAAAACGGTGCACAGTTGCGACAGACATGCCTAGAAGACAACTACCAACTGGAATGAGTGCCCCAGCATGTTTGGCGCCCGGAGAAGCAGTAGCTTAATCTATAATCACCTGAATATGATATGATATTCGATCTAATTATTGGTTTGACTCATCATCAGTGAGTTTGCTCCATGGTAACGGGGAATGCTCAATAGTTTAAAAACCTCACTGTCCTCAGAGGCTGAGACTTCTCAGTACGGGAAACTAGAGCGACTATCTTTGCCCTAAAGCCGTCAATATTTCGATTGTCTCCCCTACCTGCGGCACAGCAAGCACATTCCCCGGCGTTGCAACACCCCCCCTCCTCCTCCCCCCAAAGCAGTAAAGGGCTGTAAAGTACGAGGCACGACCTACTCCCAACGGCGGCTAGTCTGTCAACAGATGTTAAAGAACCCGGTCTACTGCGCGACGACGGGGTTAAATCAGAGGTTGCATTCTTTTCGCTCCCTGATGAATTAATCACAGCGCCAAGAAGCACGATCAGTCGCAGAGGACTCCAATGGACAACGACGAAGACCCCGACAGAAACTAACGAAACGGAATATTGTGAACTGCACACAAGAATGACAATAGCACAAAGCTTGGGAAAATGAGAACTGCCGATCTATACAACCTCGTTTAGGCCGAATGTTGCACCGATTTTTGTGTGCAGTAGGACGGGGAAACTGCAAATCCTCTAGTTCCGATATCAGGGAGATTAATTCCACCGTGGTTCTTAAAATACCATCGTTGTCCATCTTAAAGAGCACCTCATAGACAACGTTTTCGGCCTCTAATCCCTAAAGTCAATTCAGGGGGCTAGGAAACAAGTTGAAGCACTCGTACTGGATTAGGTAGTAGCAACTCAGCGCGCTTACAGATAGCCGAAACAATTAAAATGAACGCGCCTCAACATCTGGTGAATGAGTAGCAATGGCCACTCAGCAAGGAACTGAGGCCCGGCACACCGACGGCCAATGATGTAAACGTGGTTTGGCAGCTCAGGGTTTCTATCCCCACTGCCTCACAGGCTGCATATTTACTTAACGGCTTGCACGAAACCCGGGGCTCTCCATGAAAATGAGTGATTTTCTACCTCTGTATAGGTACTACTATGGCATAGGCTGCAAGGATTGAGTCTCTGATAAGAGCCTAAAGGCCCCATACAGCTGGTGCAATCAGCAACCCTATTCGGGTGGCGCCGGCGAATGGTGCGCTGGATTACTCAGCTGGGAACGGAACCAACCATGGCTCCTAGATCCCGGTACAAAAAACGAGACAACATGCATGTTTCGTCGCCCTTGCCTTGACTTGAATTCACGCTGGAGTCTGTCACAGGTCAAGTGCGGCGGATAATGATAGCTGGTCATGATGGGTGCCGTCACAAGGACGATTTCGGAAAGATATACTTGGCATAACAAACAACTTTCCTATTTTATTCGTGTTTCTTGTAAAAAGACGACACGCAAGAAACATCAGTCAGTCGGGGGTAAAGGCTGAGGACTTGGTATGAAATCAAGGATTTCTGAATATCTCGTGGCTTTTCTGATGCCCAAGCTGAGAACAGAGCGGTGCGACGAGGGCATTAACACCTAGGTCTGATAAAACGCCGAAGACCGGAGGGCGAGAAATCAACGTAGTAAAACACAGAAAAGGCTATGGAAAACAAGAGTATGAGGACGGATAAGACGGACAAAACGCGAAAGAGTGACGAATGAAAAGGTCCTAGAGGGAAAGTACCTTTTGATTTATTAATTGGCATCATAAAAACTGGTAAATACAAAACAGAGCGTCAAAATGCGTCACCGTAGCAACAAAGGGCAACGTGGACTGCAGATTTATGTGGTAGGAATTTCCTAACCCAGTGATAGCCTATAAAACTACAGGACCCCTTGAGTTTCAGAGGGAATCAAGACATTTCTTAAATAATCTACAAGTGGGGGGATAGGACGACCGTTTTGAAGAACTCGTTCCAGGATTTAATGGTACACAGTGAAAAACCCGTCCACAGAAATTGTGTATCTACCTGGAGAACCAAACCATGGCCTACGGGCCGTCTACACACTGTCATCTCTGCCGCAACATGGGAAGTTTGGACCGGGCCAAGATTTGCACTGAAACGACGAAGCTGGGCTGTCTAGTTCTGAGCCGTGTGCAAATAAATCTCCTTGTCGCTTAAGAGGCACAGAATAACGCTGATGACAAAAGTGTGAGCAAACAAACTTGGAGTATAGCATCTGAAGGTGTTTCCCGGTGAAATGCTTGGATCGCCAACTAGTCAAAAGCTGCTTTTGAGTTTTGACAGCAGATTGCAAACATTGTTTTGGCGATGTTGACCTGGCTAAAGTTATAAACCATGGCTGGCGACTGACACAGCCAGCGGAATGGCTTCGTCACTCGAGGTTGCGCGTGGAACCGCGGTATCTGTGCATTCACGGCGAGATCCCATCAGTCAATCCGTTCGAAAAGTCGAACAAGGTCTTTCCGCATTGAAGGATAGTTGTGTCTGTTCTGAGGTGTATATGTTGCCTGGAAAACTCAGGCGGGTTTTGAAAACTGATGCTGATAGGCCACTGGTGCAGAGTAGAAGAAACTACAGATTTAGCGAAAATGCTTATGAAACGTCACTATGTACAGGCAACTCAGGTGACGGAGTTTTTCGAACATATGTGCGGAGAGTCTAATCTAGTTTATTGCGTTCCTGTTTGTATCATACCTATAACGCTTCCTGGCGAGTACTCGGTAGTTAACTGCATCAAAAGCCTTTCCAGGGTCTGAAAATATAGATTTGAATTTTTCCACATTCCCTGTTGAGTTTTCTAAGGCAAGATCATCCTTTTGGGAAAGCATGCGGAATGGTGCTCACAGATTTGTGTCTGCTGAGGAAGTAACAGAGACGGTAACGGATGACTTCAAGCATAACTTTGCAAGGGATACTGGGCCGTATTTTACGGCCAACCACCGGGATCGCTTCTCGTTTTGAGAGGTAACTTGGCATGTCTTAGGCTAGTGAGTATGATGGCTGACAGCAAGCAGAAGGAAAATTAATACTAAAAGGGTCGAACGCAAAGAGTCCGGTTCTAAGAGCTCATTTGGAAAATAAGTACAGTAAATACGAACCAACTTATATGTATGTATGTATATTGAAGGGTTACAGGCAAGTGATGCACCTGGAAAACTACCCTGGATGCGAGTGGACACGCGCGTTTAGCAACAAATAACTCTCTCCATGACTTTGTACAGTATACTGGTTAGGCAGACTGGATTTTGGTTTGGGGCGAACAACTGAAACCTTCTTTGTGCGATGCAAACGCTATTGCTCATTCTCATGTGTCTATGAAAGTTGAAAGACGACTTTCTGTGCGACGTTATTGCAAAGGTGTTTTTCATTCGGCCGTGGTACAAAATCTGAAAATCTCAGATTGTTTCGATACATGGAAATATATGGCATTTATGTTCTGCTTGATAAAGGTTCTCGTCGCTTCTGTATATGGTATTTTTTCAAACCCAAGGCCGACCATTGTGATTGAAAAACCATATTTTTATAACTACAATGTTCGCACATACGCACAACTTTACGTACTGTAATTACAGCGCTAGTGGGACTACTGGAGTTGACCCCAATGATGGAACATGCGACAGTATGAACGCGTTTTAGTGTTGATCTACAGCGATTTGGAGAAAAACAGAGGTCGATTTCCACGAAGACGTCTCGTATCGGGGAGCATCCGCCAATAACATCTTACATTGAGCACCTACCATTCCGTTCTGAGAGAAAAATTAGCTCATAATAACGGCTACCACGTTCTTTGACCACTGAGGACAAACATGTCACCAAACTCCTGCACCACCAGAGCACTACTTTCACATTTCTAACTATCTTGCTAGCATAACAATTTCTCAGGGTTTGTCTCTAGGGTTAGTCTGCGGTCAGTTTTGCGACTGTCTGACTCTTGTCGGTAGCACGTGCAGGCACAATTTGCCTGACATTTACCCTAGCAGGCCAAGTCAAATCAGCCAAGCAGACCCGTAATCGCACACAGTCTGTAAACCTAAGGTGGCAATACGAGGGTAGACAGGGGAGGGGGGAGTACATTGTTACCAGCGATGTCTGCATCTCTGCTGGTTTTGTGATACTCACAAAGCAGGTAGAAAAAACAGGCGGCTCTAGCAAAGCACAACATGTGCGGCGACAAATAATAAAAATGCACGGGCACGTATAGGATACTAATGTAGTCTGAGAAGCTACGCCGCGAAAGGAAGCAGAACTCGCAATCTTATGGACGTCCAGCGCTGCTGGTACCAGCTAATTGTGTTAAGTGCGGGCAGCGGCTGACACCAAAGCACCGCACCCACAACCGCAAAAGCCACGAAAGTAAAGGTCGAAAGATACGGTAAAACAAACTGGGTAGAAAGGTCATATACAAGTAAACCATAATTACTAAGTAAAATGAGAAAAACTAAGTAAAGGGAGTGGACTACGTTCCCCTTAACGTCGAAATTCATTTGAAATCCTATCTTTCTCAACTTACAGATACATCATTACAACGAATGTTTGGCATGTTCAAGATATATGGCCGGAAGCAGCTAGATGTAATTGACCATGTCTAATATTTCCAGATACGTCTCCTGGACCCGACAGAATTCCTGGGCTGATATTTAAGAAGCTATCTACGGAGCTGTCAAAACTTCTTTCGACTCTCTTTGAGCTGTCAATGAGAACAGAATGGCTGTCCTCACAGCGGAAGACAGCGAACCTCATTCCCTTATATAAGGGAGGTAGCAGGATGGCAGCGAGCAGCTTGAGGTCTATTAGCTTTACTTGCTTCTCATGGGAAATCAGGGTTGCTCTAGTAAAGAGCGCTACACAGCAATTTTGTGAAGAAAATAACATCTTCCATGATTTTCAACATGGCTTTCGGAGAGGACGTTACTGCCTCTCAAATCCGCTAGCTTGTCTGGAGATCTGGACCAGGGCTCTAAAAGAGGATTTTGAGGTCGATATCGTGTGCATCGATTTCCGCAAAGCTTTCGACACTGTCTTGCACCAACGCCTTCTTCACAAATTGAGCGCCATCGGCATCCGGGGATATCTTCTGAACTGCATAAGGGCGTTTCTGGTTGGCGCTTCGCATAAGACCTATCTCTAGGAGTGAGAGTGTCAATGAGCGAAGATTGATGCTAGTGTAAATGCGAAAAAGGAAGCAAAGGCCAGCTTCGTGTCTTCTAAACCACAAAAACCTAATGTTCGTCAGCTGACATCTCTGAGTATAAGAAATACCGGGTGCAACATGAGAGAACAGTTTCCGGGTGAAAACTCTCTGAACATTTTCGATTTTATTACGGTCGCAGGCGTTTATTAAACCATAGAAAGGACAGCAGTATTCGAGGACTGGAAGAACAAACATTTGATAAAGTCTTAGCTTCATTTCCGGAAGGAAAAAAATTATGCGATATGAATCCACATATCTGCGCGGCTTTTTCAGAGATTCTATCTGCGTGAGGTGATAAAGAAAGCTTATTTGTATAACTTAGACCTAGGTCCTTTATGGTGAGATATTCTGGGAGTGGTTTATTCTGTAAAATTAGGGGACCAGGAAATTTGGCAGGACCGAAAGACATGAAACTACAATTGGATGATGAAAACTCCATCTGACATGTTGAGCCCCGTCGGCTTAAGCGTAGTAACTCGACATTAATTTTTTAACACAAATGTTTGCGGTGTCCTTTGAATATGAGTAAACGACTTATAAATAAATAAATTTTAATTTAATGCCAGTTTACAGGCATTGTCAAGGGAAGTGATTAAACACAAATCCGACCAGCAGTGAAAAAAAACTCCTGAGCTTAAGGCATAAAAATATAGTTGATGGTGGTTTTTGTGGTTTGGAGGACTCAGGAGAAAAAACTGTCGGCGGTGGTAGAATATCGACCGTCAAGAAGGGGGGAGGTTGCACGGTATCGGAGATTATCGGACGTCAAATTCCTTTCATGAAGTTGGGGATAGTCTAAGTAGAGGCGTTGAGGAACAGCTGGTGAGACCGGCCATAGTGTTCAGAGACCACAAACGCCATCGCTACGGTACAGTCGATCAGTAGATTCAGCACCCAAAATTTGTGGGAGCTTTTCTGAATGCAAAAATCGAGTAATAGTTCTCTTAAATAAAGGAAAATTTTGCAGAGTTTTCACACTCATGGGTAGTTTATTCCAAATAGCAATTGCATTTACAGAAAAGAACCGACGATATTTAACAGTACGTGCCAGAGGCAGAAATAAGAAGACCTCACGGTGACTGTTACGTCGTGGGTGGATATGATGTCTTAAAGAGGTGAGCGGGTTAAATGTGTGATTATATAAGAGTTTAAATAGCAAAAATAGTCCCTTTGTAATCTACGGAACCATAAAGGATCGAGGCCTGTAAGCCGGCAACGTTCTTGGTAAGACAAATGTCGGTGTTCCGGGGTTAAAATTCTCTTGGTAAAAAAGTGTTGAACGGACTCTATTTTCTTCCGCTCAGTAGCACGCATGAGGCTAAATGAAAACGAACAGTATCCCAGACCAGGTCTAACGTACATGTTGAAAAGGCGCATTCTAATGTCCCTAGTTTTAAAATTTCGGAGGATAAACCCAGTCGTTCTACGTGCTTTGGAGACTATCAAGGCACAGTGCTCCGAGAGATTGAGTCTCTTGGAGTATGATACGCCCAAATCCTTTATAACCCCTGGCACATTTATTGCGTGACGTTCAATACTTAGTTGAGGTTGGCGGTCGTCGCCAACCACCATGACTGAGCACTTATGCCAAGAAAGAGAAAGGCGCCATGTGCGGCACCACTGGGCGAAATCCTGTAGATCGCTCTTTAGGAGCTCAAGCACGATGTCATGATCTGCCGGCTTATATCGATATGCAACTTTAAGATCATCGGCATACATGAAAGGCTTACCATTCTGAAATAAATCGGGTACATCATTAACGAAAAGGCAAAATAAAAGCGGGCCGAGTACACTACCCTGAATGACTCCACTCCTCACACGTGTGGGGTTGGAGATGGTATTGGAAATCTTAACTCGTTGTGTGCGAGTGCCCAACTAAGAGGATATAAAATTCAAAAGTTTGCCACCTATTCCGAAAGAGGACAGTTTCAAGAGAAGAAGAGAATGGTCAACACAGTCAAAAGCCTTGGTGAAATCGAAATATACTGTGTAAAGAGCAAAACCATGGTCCCTAGATTGGAGAACATAGTCAAAGAAAGAGAGTTGACAGGTGTCACAAGATCGAGCTTTGAGGAATCCATGCTGAGCAGCACTTAGCAGGTTATTCGCTGTTAAGTGACACATCATCTTATCCTTGATCAATGTCTCTAAGATCTTCGAAACTGCGGGGAGGGTGTTTATTGGCCGAAAGTCATCAAATGATGTAGATTTGCCGTGCTTAGGAATGGGCAAAATGTGTGATTCCTTCCACAAGGTAGGATAAGTTTCACTTTCAAGAGCGAGATTAAATATCTTGCATAAGAGGGATGGGAAGATCATGTTTGCATCGGCTTTTAAAATGCTTACTGGGACACCATCAGGGCCTGGACTATAAGATTGACGAAAACGCCGAATCGCAACAGTCACATCCCACACAGTGAAACTTATAGTTTCTAGAACTGCCCCGGCCAATGACTGGATGGTCGGAAGCGGAGTGGTCGAGTCTTCAATAAACGTTTTGGACAGGAAATCATTGAAGCTATCCGCGGTTAACTGGGCATCAACTATGGGATTTCCGAGATCGTCTCGAAGGATGGGATACTGCGTCTTTCTCTGAGTTCGTATTTTTCTAGAGAAAAGTTTCGAGACACTTAACGAATGGTTTTCAGTAAAGTGGACCTCTTCGGCTAGCTGTTTTTCTTCAGACAATCTCTTAGCTCGATCAAAAATATCACGAATCAAGGGCAGAACAGAAACATCGTTCTGCAGATGGAAACGACGATAAAGCCTGCGCAATCTGCGACGAAAGGGTAAGGGTAGGAAAATCTCATCCCCAACATTAATAATTTTCTTACGGGGGACAAAACGAGAAATAAGCGGATCCAAAATTTCGTACAGTTTTGCAGTGCAAACATTTACATCCGAACTAAGGAAGAACTCAGTCCAGTCGTAGGAATTAAGGTGTGTTAAGAATTCGGTTGAGCGAGTTGATCGGAAATCGCGGAAAAAGTTATACTTTTGGGACGACATTTCGTCAGCCTCGAATTCCAACGTTGAAACAACTATGTCATGGTCTGAGCCCCCGAGTGGGCCTAGGGATGACACCGACGATGGCAAGCAGCCTCTACAGAAAATTAGGTCAAGTATACTTGGGCCTCGGGTGGGAAAATCAACAACCTGAGTCCACATCCCGACATCCACAGCCTCAAGAAACTCATCGAACCTTCTGGGGCCTGAAGGCGGAGACCAGCGGACTTCAGGGAGATTAAAGTCACCCGCAACCAGTTGATACTTAAAGCTTAAGTCGGCCGCAGCATGAAATGCCTGTGAGAGTAAACGATCAAAATTTTCATTGGCGTAGGGAGGGCGATAGATACAGCCAACGAGTAAGGAGAACTTATTTTTTAGTGCAACCTGGAGCCAGCAGCTGCCTTCTACTGCTGAAAAGTGCGGGAGGTCCAACGGCAAACATTTAAGTGTTTGCTTAACGTAGACGCAGCTGCCCCCACCACGGCTATCTTGGCGCTCATTTCGAATGCAATTGTAGCCTAGAAGAGAGAGTTCGGAGTCAGCTACTGAGGCTGATGCCCACGTCTCAGTTACTAAAACAATATCAGGATAATGGACGAACACCTGAGCCTGAAGCAAAGGCATCTTATTAAGCAAGGATCTGGCATTTAAAACAAAAAGTTTGAAGGGAAAGGCTGTTAGTTTTTGAGGGAGGTGGGCTACATCGTCCAGTTCTGGGTCGCCCACGGAGCAAACGGTCCGGATGCAACCATCCGGTTCTGCAAAAAATTTTGTGGCATTAAAAAATTCTGACGTGGATAAAAAAGGTGAGGACTTGGGGGAGGGAATGACGGGCAGGTAAACTGGTAACTATTGTTAGCTAACTGATTTTCAGCTGGAAATCCGCGGGGCAGATACTGCAACGTATTCCCGCCGGGACGAAACTGAGGATCGGATGAATTAACTGATTCAGTATGGACATTATCATGAGGAATAAATTGGTAAAACGGCCGTGGAGGAAACAAGTTAGGGGGTGGGGGACGCATTGTTTCCATTGGAACAAGAGGTCTATCAAACGGTGGGAAAATCGGCATATTCGACTTGAGGTTATCAACTTAAATAAAAGTTTACAAATTTCCGAGTTCAGTCGACATATCATTGATGTGCAGAAGGAAGAGTAGCGGACCCAGGTGTCGAGTAGCTATTACCGACCATGACTTTGTGGTATCGGCTGGATAGATATGACCTGTTGAAGTCGAATAGAGGCGGCCGGATGTCGAGAACTTCCAATTTTGCTAAAAGACGTCTATGGGGCACCTTGTTAAAGGCTTTGCTAAGATCAAAGTAGATAACTACAACTG